CTTGAGACGGCCGCGCTGATATCTAAAAAAAGTGAACCAACATTCATTTTTTTTATTGCACAACCTTGAACCCACAGATATTTCGTATATATGAGAATTTGATGATGAAGAAAGCTAACCTCACTGAGACCAGTACTTCAAAAACCTATACTGTACATTCAAAAGTTCCTCAATGTAACACTCAAGTTCTTCAACGTAACACTCAAGTTCTTCAACAAAACTGCGCACAACAGCATTACTCTTATGAGCAACACCCAACATGTTCACGGCTTGTACAGACATCCTTATACTGGCACAGAATTTCCAAGCATCAGTTTGTCATACATACGTACAATTTTCGGAAGAGTTACAGAATCAGATGAAGCGTTCTGGGAGTGTTTCGACCTTACTGAGGTCCGGGCGAACAATTCACACACAATGGCACGTCAATACAAGGGTGCTTCGTTTACAGCTGGGAAGAAGACAGACAGACAGAAACCGAGAGACAAAGAAGAAATAAGAGCTACCCGATGCACCCTCCAACCACCCGCTGATACAATCAAAGAACCCCACAAGCAAAGAGGTAGCCACTAGTGTCCCCTCTGTATGTGTGTATATATATATATATATATACGCGTATGTATATCAAATAAGGAAGCACATTAAAATTTCAAAAATTATCAATAACTACGGTGTGCGAAGTCACTTCACTAGATCTACCTTCTACATCTAGTGAGGCAATGGCCATGAGACAGAATCAAGATAAAATATCTATTTGTAAGCCAAAACATCCATTTGTAAGATAAAATATCCATTTGTAAGATAAAACATACATTTGTTAGATCAACCATCCATTTGTAAGATAAAACATACATTTGTTAGATCAACCATCCATTTGTAAGATAAAATATGGATGTGCAATATAATGTCACTAATCTGAGACCAGTTTCACAAGCAACCGAATACACACACAGCCACTTTTTGTACTGCCCGTTTTGCCTCCCCAGACATCGGAAACACTCTACACAGCGACAAAACACAGCTGATTAAAACCTGTCAATTCTTTGCCATATCGACAGACCGAAGGGCTAGAACCCAAATGGCCGCTGGATCGGAAAAGTAAAGTAAAGTACTGCCCAGTTTTTCTCCATCATAGTACATCGTTCATTATTCATTGTTTCAGGAAGCAACATCCCTGCTTTCCGGATACGTCCATTGATGCTCCGTTGCTCTCTCCAAATGAATGTCGCTGAGGTTCTTTCCACTGATTGTGCCAGTGCATATCTGGTTGAGCGTTCTTCTGTCCTTTCCTGCAATCCTGTCCCCTTCATAGTCACAAGTACAGACGGTCAAAACTCACTCACTGACCAAAAGAACAACTTGTACTGAAAACTCTCCCAAAATCGGAGTTGGGAAAAAAATTCAGATAGCATAACAAATCGACCCTGGCAAATAAACATAAATAGCAAAAGCATGCAAATAAAAGCAAATAAATAAAAACGTGTATATTCACGTCCTTTACATACAACTAGTTGCGCAAATATTGCAAATAAATACAAATAAAAAATGCATTTTCACGTCACAGTCATTTACCATAAGTCGCATATGATATAACGGAAATAGACTTCAAGACAGAGAAATCAAATTTGATGCTTACAAAGCGTCTGGGTTCTTTGACGAGGTTAAAAAAAAATATTTGGAGAGCTCTAATTTTATCAGAGTCCACACAAAAGCCGTCATGGACGAAGACGTGCCACACAAGCAAACAAACGCACAATCTCTTTTCCTTTCTGCTACAGGCAAAGTTTTTCGTCTTCACAATCCCAACTAGAACTTCACACAACTAGATTGTCTTCACAACTAAATCGTCTTCACAACTGAATCGTCTTCATAACCCCAACTAGATCGTCACACAACTAAATCGTCTTCATAACCCCAACAAGATCGCCACACAACTAGATCGTCGCACAACTAAATCGTCTTCACAAATGAATCGTCTTCATAACCCAACAAGATCGTCACACAAATAGATCGTCCTCACAATCCCAACTAGAAGCACAACCTTTGGGAACACACACACTGACTAGTCAGGGAGAAACATTCACAGAAATAATTGTGTCACGCACAGCCAACTAGTCTGTCGAAAATTTCCCATTCAACAACACTTAACAATAAACCACTAGTCAAACAAATATGAAGTTATGAGTGCAAAAGCTTTAAAAATTGGCACCCTCACAATTTCCAGTTTGTGACTACAGTCATTTTTTCCCTGTGCTCTTCGGGTAAATGCTCTCAAAAACCCACAACCCAAAACGAAGAGAAAAGAATGAAACAATCAATAAATGCAGTTTTCAACAAGTGGCAAGCGTTTGGATTGGGACCCAATCGTAAGGCAGGTGTTTCAACCAAAGTCGGAGACAAAAAAGTCATGTGACAAAACGTCTGTGACAAAAGTCATGTGACAAAATGTCATGTGACAAAAAGTCATGTGACAAAACGTCATGTGACAAAAAGTCATGTGACAAAAAGTCATGTGACAAAACGTCATGTGACAAAAAGTCATGTGACAAAAAGTCATGTGACAAAACGTCTGTGACAAAAAGTCACGTGACAAAAAGTCATGTGACAAAAAGCCGGAGGCAAAAAGTCATGTGACCTCGGACTTATTCAGGCCCGGAACTGCTCCATTATGCTGCAAGATTGGCAGGACAGTGGCGAGTGTGTACGTCTGTGAACACAGTGACAGAAGATAGAACAATTCACCTCACCCTGGTTCGTGCACATCACGTGTTTCGCTCAGCTGGCAACATTTTTTTAAGTTGACACAATATTTGGGTGAAACAAGTCCGCTGTTTTCTCGACTCTACAACCATCAGAAATATGATGAAGTCGTCCATTTTTAATAACAGTGAAAACAGTTCATAAAAAAGATTGAGCTTAAGACGATGTCACATTTTCACTGTTTAAAAAAATCGGAGATACGACAAGAAAGCATTACGGTCGCAATATGCTCCAATATGCCTACAACAACACAAGTGACTTCAAACTGCCCAATAAGCGGGCCAAACAAAGCTGTCTATTCCTCTTTAGTTTTCGTAAGAGTTTACGGCACTTGCAACACATCAAGGTCACATAAGTGCTGAAGACTAGAGGTGTTACAAGAGAGTAACAAACAGGAAAAAAGAAGGAGAGATAAGGAAGACAGATGTTTGATAGGAAAGAAGGAGCAAACTACACTAGAGCACCCTCCAACCACCTCTCATTTGGTACCCCCCCAAAAAAACAAAAAAAAACAACCCCAACTGCTAACCCCTGCTCCTCCCCCCCCCTCCCGCAACATGCAATTCACACCAGAGCACCCTCCAACCACCTCTCATTTGGAACCAAAAACCTCAACCAACAACCCCAACTGCTAACTGCTGCTCCTTCCCTCCCGCAACATGCAAATCATACCAGAGCACCCTCCAACCACCTCTCATTTGGAACCAAAAATAAAACCAAACCAACAACCCCAACTGCTAACCACCGCTCCCTCCCACAACACGCGAGGTGGTCATCGTCGAGGCTCCTTGTCGGCTCGTAGGCTGGTGGGGGGTCGTGCGGCCGGGGGTCAGGTCGGCACGAGGTCGGCCAGGGAGTGGCAGCTGCTGGTCTTGTGCGGGGAGTCGGGCGGGAACTGGGCGTCGGACGGGAGGTGCATGGAGGCGAACGAGTTGTGGACCTGCTGCGACAGACGCCTGCCACGACGGAGAAACGTCTCTAGCTTGTCCACGCACGCGTCCTGGTACTCGTGCACCCAGCTGGGGGAGAGGGAGATAATGACACACATACATGCACGAGAGAATGATACACACATACACACATATACAGTACACACATCCTGGTACTCGTGCACCCAGCTGGAAAGGAAGGAGATAATGACATACACACTTACACACATAAACGGGAGAACGTTACCCACATACACACATACTACACGCGTCCTGGTACTCGTGCACCCAGCTGGGGGAGGGAGATAGTAACACACATGGGGGAATGTTATACATTCATACAAGGGGGAATGTAACACGCACAACTACGCGCGTCCTGGTACTCGTGCACCCAGCTGGGGGAGGGAGATAGTAACACGCACAACTACGCGCGTCCTGGTACTCGTGCACCCAGCTGAAGGGAGATAACAACACACGTGGGGGAATGTTACACACAAACACATACAGTACACGTGTTCTGCGAGGAGATTATAAAACATAGTAAAAAGTTACACATAAAGCCTCAGTCCTGGGAAATTTCACAATTTTGGACTTTGCACATCAGAACAGCCGGGCGGTCGATGGAAAGCTCAAGTCATCTGTGAGGCATCCTGGTGAAATCACCTCAAAATAATGAAATCAAAGAAATCACCATTTTTTTGGGCCGATGGGCAATTTTTTTCAAATTTTCTTTTTTTTTTTGGCTCAGCACCTTTAAAGTCCATTTAAAAACACATTTTTGTGTGGATTTTACTTTTTTTTTAAACATTGATTGAAGGCACAAAAAATGTAAATTGTCAGTTTTCAAGGACTCTCAGGCTATGGAAGTTACCAAATTTTGGCAGCCATTTTCTCGCTAATTTTACTTCTGAAACTAAGTGACCCTGACCTCCTTAAGTCGCAAATATTTCGAATCTATTCCACATAGATGGATATTTTTTTTCCCCAAAAGGAAGGCAAATGAACAGGCTTATAGATGACACCAATAACCTCATATGCCCAAAAATTGACGAGAGCGTGACTCCACCACGTCGTGACACATTTTTGTCATATTTCTACTTTCAGGTGTATCGGTAACTTTCAGGGGACACAAGTGGATGTCTCGCTGATATATCAACAATTAGGTCAGGGTTGTTTATTTCCTTTCTATCGCTTTCGCAACATCAGCGAACATCTAAAAAATGAGAGGAAAGCTTTCTGAAATAAAATTGTCTGGTTTGTGGACCATTTTGCTCCCTTTTATGTCCATCCCCTCAAACTGATTCACAGATTACACATTAGTTACATAATGGTTTCATGGAGAAGAGTCACACAAATTGACCTACAGAAAAGTGGAAAGACATGGAACAATATCAAGAAGTTAGCCCAGGATAGGGAAAGGTGGAAAGTGTTTGTGGCCTATACCCAGATCATGGGTGAGAAAGGCAATGATGATGATGATGATGATGATGATGATGATGATGATGATGATGATGATGATGATGATGATGATGATGAAAAGGTTACAACTATGGAAAAAAAATTAAGTCTTGAATAAGTTAAGTCCCAAATGTCTCACCGCACGCTGTTGAAGCGGACCACGCCCCTCATGTCGTGCGGCAGTCTCTCCAGGGGAGGCCACTCAAAGTTGTCGATGATGGGCACAATGTTACAGTTGGTCTCCAGAGCCGCCACAATCTCCTTGTGTACCCAGTCTTCTTGGGACTCATCGCCTGCCGGGGGGGAGGGGTAGACAGAGTGAGACTGAGTGGAGGAGGAGGGAACGACAGAGTGAGAAAGTTACATTGAGACAACAATCTCCTTGTGTACCCAGTCTTCTTGTGACTCATCACCTGCTGGGGGGAGGAGGGGGGGGGGGACAGAGGGAAACAGTTACATCATTGAGACAACAATCTCCTTGTGTACCCTCCCCCCAATCCCTCTCAGCACCCTGTGACAATTTCACCGATATATCTGTCTAGAGCGTCGGGTGTGAGGATGAGCACAAAGTGTTGCGACATCTGTATGCTGTACAGAAGGTTCTCGTCAAATGTAAAAACACCTACACTTAAACCAACCCGTTACGTAAATGTAAGCAAGAGGACATGACCACCATAATAAAAAGGAGAAGATGGAGACAGATTGGACATGTTCTGAGAAGAGAACCAGACTCTATTGTAAAGATTGCACTCCACTGGACACCCGAAGGACGTCGCAAAAGGGGCAGACCCAAAGTGACCTGGAGACGCACAGTGGGGTCTGAAATGAAGTCCTCGAATCATTCGTGGGGAACGCAGACCAAGATAGCCCAAAACAGACAGAGCTGGAGATCCTTTGTTGCTGCCCTAAACGCCAGATGGTGTAATGGGTAGTAAGTAAGTAAGTTAAACCAACCTTCTCCCCCCCCCCCCAATCCCTCTCAGCACTGTGTGACAATCTCACCAATACATCTGTCTAGAGCGTCGGGAGTGAAGATGAGCACAAAGAGTTGTGACATCTGTATGCTGTACAGAAGGTTCTCCTCAAATGTAAAAACACCTACAGTCGAACCTGCCTTAACGGAAACCTGTATAAAACGGAAACCTGTCTTAACGGAATCTTTGCGCTCCCCCCTTGATATTTTCCTCTTTATTTACCTGTATAAAACGGAAACCTGTCCAACGCGGAAACGGAAAGAAAAATCCGCTCCCTTCCGAGGGTTTCACCTGTCTATGATGGAAAATTCTTTGCTCGCTCACCCTGGATTTGAAACAAAACTCGCAAGTTTGGTTCTGCCGGCTCTAAACTTAACGCTATGGCTATGCCGTTGGCCGAGGAAGAGGAGAAGGGGTGCAATTTGGGGATAGATGTTATCCCATCATGTGAGCCCTGAGCGACGCAGATGGTCAGTGTAAAGTGGATGTGAAATCTCACGACTTCACGTGAGAGTGCTCGAGTAGCGAGCCACTGCGGAAACTTTCCTGGGTAGCCAGAAGTCAGGGGTGTGAAATTAGATTGACCAATGCCTGCCGCCCTGATCGTACGGCCAGCTGAGAAAAGAGTTCTTTGAATCATTGTTACATGATGGCAGTGAGGGGTGGCATTGGTGGGTGTGGCTAACGGTGGAATCAAAGGAGAGATCAAACATTGGTCCTACGAAAGGCAAGCACTGGTGGTAAATATAAGTAAGTCTGACGCATGACATTATCAGACAGGATAGCAATTGAGAGGTGTGAAGTTTTGACCACTGCTTACCGATCGGACAAGCGATCCTTGATCCCACCGGCTGGGCCTTTG